CAATTAAGATAGAAAAATGGTAGTCATAATCCTAGCAAAAAGAAATCTCAAAGCATTGTCAACAAAAAACTAATAAAAGAAAAGAAACATCAAAATAAAAAATCAAGAGTCAAAATAAAGAAGGCCAAATAAAAAGAAAAGCTCTAAATAAGATTACTGAAGAATCAAAACCAATAATATCAAGAACAGCCATATTAGAAAAGAAAAAAGTAGAAGATATACAAACCAAGAATATACAGAGAGATATAATAGATTGGGCAATAGAAGCTTTGTACTTGTCAAATAGGAAAGATGCTCAGATCAATAGTAAAAATTAGAAAAAAAGAAAAAAGACCTATTAGCAGATTGGATTCAATAGACCAAATCTTACGCAGCAGAGAGCACAGTTAGAAGAGACAGAATCTAAGTTATTATAGCGAAAAGAATAACAAAAGTTATGAATCAGAGAAAGAAAAAAAAGAATATATTAGAGTGTAGTGACTTAGTGAAGTGGTTAAGTTGTCGCACCCCCAAACGATATGTTGGCTAGGTAGGGGTTCGAAATCCACTGGTGACGAATTTTGAAAAATTCTATCTGTACGATATTACTGCTGTCTGATTAATGGTTAGAACAAAATTTTTGTAACCTTGGTAGCACCAACAGGATTAGGAAATCATAAGGTATTTGTATGATATATGAGTTATACGAATAAGTTTCTGGATCGTTGTAAACACAGAGAATCAGAAAGGATGATAGAACACACTTGGCAAAACCTGAGTAGAGAGGTACACAGATCTTTAACAATACTATGTAAAGAATTGTTACCGAGAAAACTGGCGAAACTGAACAGAACCGAATTATTTGGCAAGGCACTTCACCAATCAGACCACCAGAAGAGTAACTGGAGAAAAAAAATCCAACTATGGAAACCAGAAGCAGGTTATAGCCCTTTAGAGCTATCTGGATTGGTAGTTTGGAATTGTTGGGATTAAAATCAGTAATAGTTTGTAAAGTGTATACTGGGGTCTGGGTGAACTCTACAAGGGCAGAAGTAAGTAATAGTAGTGGTCTCGGCTCACAAGTACTTGTTCTCAGACTTGGTATAAGTTACCAAAGTCTAGGTTAGCCAGATTGTAGATATGGAAAGCTTTAGCAAATTTATCTTAAGGGTAAATTAGCCCTAGGTTGGTCACTTTCTATAGCAAGTATTGGTTCCTCATAAGGATGTAGTAGCACAGAGAGTTTAAATAGATAATCTCCTAGTTGGATTATAGGTATAGCATCTAGTGTAGAACCTTCGAGCAGACTACTTAAATAGACAATCAAAAGTTGTACGTGTGGCTAGTTGTATTTTCTAAATCCATGTACCAAATGAGTAGTGGCTGACTTTAATCAGCTTAGCACAAAAACTAATAAAGCCAACCGACCATGAGATCACTTTGATATTAAAAAAAAAAAAAAAAAAGGACATACTTTTGGATATAGCAGAAGGAATATTATTAGAAGTATTAGAAAATCAAGAAGCCTATATTGAATTACAAGAGAAGTTCTTTGAAAAAAAGCTGCACCTAAAAAGAAGAAAAGAAAAAAAAGATGCTCAGGTTAGCAGAAGAAAGAAAAGGAAGAGAAGAAGACTTGAATGAAATGAATATATGACAACCACTAGAGAAGTAAAAAAAGCTCCAAAGAATACTAAAAAAGAGAAGACCTTTATAAAGACCTTAGAACAGAAAAAAAGATCTAATAATAGAGCTCCAGAACAAAAAGGAAAAAGCAAAGAGAAGAATCTAAGAAGACTTCTAAGAGCCAGGTTTCCAATCAGGAAGGACTAAATGAATTGGAAGAAATGAAAATATAAATGAAAATACAAGAATATTCGAAAAAATATCAGCAATAACCCTTCAAAAGGAAAAGATATAGATTTGGTTATTAATAGAAAGATTAGATTAGATTACTGTTATAGAAAGGAAGATAGTTTAGAAGAGAAAATTTATCAATTTAGTATAGATAAAATTTTTTTTAATTTGAAACTATTTTATTATAGTTTCACTAGCTAGCTTGGTATAATGAGCAATTGCCTTAACCGGTAAGACAAACCGTACTTGAATGCTTATAGAAAAAGCTAAGTGATATCAGATTTGTAATTTAGATAGTTTAGGATATAATTATATCTGCTTTGATCTAATAAAGATACCGGTGAGGCTACTAATACATTAAAAAAAAATATATATATATATAATATATTTAAACTTTGTAATAATTTCTCATTCAAACTTTGCCAATCAGTATCTAAGATTGTATTGTACTTTGAAAAGCTTTTTTAACTATACAAAAAGAAACTGGCAACCAAATATAATTTAATGCAATTTCAAATAAGTGAGACAAAGTATTAGTCATATTTAATCAAAATTTATCTAGTGTAATTTCTTTAAATACTGCGTTATATTTTAATTCATACTATTCATACAATAGTTCATTTGATAAATTAGCTAATTATATATAAATTTTACTATATAAGTTTATAAAATTATTTAAAAATTTTTATTAAATTTGATTAAGTTTTTGTTGAGTTATTGATCTTTAAAGTTTAAAAAAAATTCACTTAAAAAAAATTTGCTTGATTTCTATTAACTTAACCCTATTTAGTATCTAAACTAAAAAAATATTCTAAAAATATAATAAATTAATAAGTTTTTATCAAGAATATTAGAAGCTTAGAAATATTTATATAACTATAAAATTTATAAAAGAACTTTATATACTTTTTATTAGTTTTTTACTTTTTTTGTTAAACAATTTTGGTTAAAAATAAATATTTTAGCTTATACTTTTTAAAAGTTAATATATAATAATACCAAAATAGTTAATATTATTTACTTCTTTAAAATAAATTATTTATTGCTTAATAAACAATTCTTTAGTTATTTGGTCAAAAATTTTTTTTTATATATAAATTTTACTATAAATACAAATATATGTCTCTATTTAAAACTTTTTTTTATACTAAATAAATTACTCTTAGGTTTCTAACAAAAATTATAGAGCTTATAAAAATATATTTAATATTGTAAAAATATTAAAATTGATTTGGTAATTCTTGAGAAATCTTTAAAAAACTTAATTTTTATATATAAAATTTCTTTAAAAAAAATTAATTTTTTTTAAAAAATTTTATATGTAAAAAAAAAGTTTTTTAAAGATTTCTCAAGAACTACTAGATTATTTTTAATATCTTTACAATATTAAATATATTTTTATAAGCTCTATAACTTTTGTTAGAAGTCTAAAAGTGATTTACTTAGTATAAAAAAAGTTTTAGATAGAGATGCTATATATTCATACTTAAAATTTGTTTAAAAAAATTTTATTAAATTTGATCAAATTTTGATTAAGTTATTGGTATGTAAAGTTTTAAAAAAATTCAATAAAAATAATTTGCTTGATTTCTATTAACTTCCCCCAAATATAAAAATCTATCAAAAAAAAACTTGATTTTAAGACAAACTATATTTAAAAGATATAATTGCTTCTTAGTATTTTAATATTTTTTTAATCTCATATTGTTTTAAAAATAGTTCTTAATCATTTAAACCTCTTAACTAGGATTATTAATGAAATACTCCAGATTATAATAAAATATATAAACCGCTTCTGGAGTGCTCCGAAGTGGGTTATATGTTTTATTATTAACTGGAGCACTCCATTAACAACCTTATTCTTAACCATTTGGAGGTGAGTCAATAGAAATAAAGCAAATTATTTTTATTGAATTTTTTTTAAAACTTTATACATTAATAACTTAACCAAAACTTGATCAAATTTAATAATTTTTTTTTAAACAAATTCTATAAGTTTGTAGAATTTATTTAAAAAAATTTTTATTAAATTTGATTAAGTTTTTGTTGAGTTATTATTGTTTAAAGTTTAAAAAAAATTTACTTAGAAAAAATTTGCTTGATTTCTATTGACTCAACCCTATTTTATTGGCTAGTTGAGATATAATACAGATAAATGATTATGTAATACTTTTTAAATTTTTTTTTACTATTATAAAGGCTAGATGCGAACTGGTCTTAGGACTGAGGACCGAATAACCATAAGACTAGTTAATCCGACTGGTTCTTATTCGGTCTTTCCAGAACTGATCCATTCCTAGTCAGCAAATATACTTTTACATATGTTTATTATTTCAAATTATCACCGGGTAAAAATTGCAATCAATTGGATAATTGTGGCTGCGCCACCAATCAATGCCCTCCACAATCAATTATTTGGTACGCCTGATTATGCACACTTAAATCAACTTATTTTGCATGATTGAAATCAGAGTTCTCGAATTTTGGGAGCATCTAAAATAGCACTATTTTTTTTTAGCAAAATAGCTAGCAGCAATTGCCTTGTGCTAAGATGCCAAATCGGATATTCTATAGAATAGGTGGGCAATATAAGAAATAAGTTTCGCTAATGATTAGTAATCATTAATTTTTTGATAGCGGAGTTGCGGAGTTTGCCCACCTATTCTATAGAACATCTGCGAAGGATGCTATTTTTGTACTAAACATGTGATTATTACCTTTGTTCTTGAACTGATTTACATAAATGAGTAATTATATACATATTTTAGATGATAACCGGAGAACTCACTGAAATGATAGACGAAGAACTCGGAGAAGAAAATATGATTACATTAAAATTTATACTTAATAAATAAATTTATAATAAGCTATTTTGCTAAATTTGCTAATTTCACTACGTAGCTATTTTTGCTACGTAATTATTTTTGCTATCAACGTCCGGGACAGGCGATAAATTTTATAATAATGGAAATAGGAAATGTCATTTATTGTATATAAATAGAAATCAATGGGAATCCATATATGCGATTTCTATTTGATCAATGATTATCCTTTTTCGTCGATAACAAGAAATAACGATAACGATAATCAAGGAATCAGTATTGTTTATCTATTCGGCATTTTGTTGAATTACATGCCGATTTGAAAATAACTTCTATAACTCTATGGGTGCTTTGTAAAGAATAACCGATTTTGGTCATGCCATTGGCGAAATTGCATAATTTATACTTACATTTACGTGTATTTCGAACTTTAAGATGATGCTTGAGAAAGTACTTTGTTTCGATATTTTTAGGCAATTTAAGAATCAGCATATTTCCAAATGACTTTCTAAATGGTTCGTTTTTATTTGGTAATACTCCAAAATTAATGAAAAGGAATTGGAAATCCGTCGTTGCTATTAATTTTGTCATGAGTAACGCTGATGGAAAATGACATTCGCTTTTTTTAGAAGAGCTTATATAATTGAATCCCACGAAATTCGCGCCTTCTATATATAGTATTACTGTATGTTTATATAATACGTATTATATATGCTATATAATGCACTGCCCGTATATGTTTAGCGTTTTTTTATTTAAAAATTTCTGCGCCCATTGTGCCATTGTTCTTGAATATTCATAAGATGTTTATTGCGCTTATATTAATTTCATGCCTCTACGTATAAGAAATCTTCACCTTTGTTTAGCATATTAAATAAATGCAATTGTTTTTTTTCCTATCCGGAAATTACCTAACTTTTACTGCATTAGCGCGAGCTTTATTACTGTACCACCAAAAATGATCTACATACCCTTAATTGTTGTCCGGAGAATTCATATTTCTGCAAAAAAGTTTCAGCTGTACGTAACGCCGCGTGTCTATAGTTGTATTGTGTAAAAAAAATACGTATGCTTACGCGTTTGTGTAATATGATTTTAATCATGAGCTTGGGCTTAAACCGGTTTTCATTTCCTAGTTTATTTATAACTTTCAGCCATATATCTGATACTCTTTATTTATAAAAAATTAAACCCAATTAATCTTTAACTATGGCGGATAATGAATAAAAATATAAATTCTACTTAACTCTATTAAAAGAATGATATCTTTTTTTAAACTATTAAAGTATTATCAATTAGATTATTGAACATTATTTATAAAAAATTTAGCCGAATTAATCTTCACTATGGCAGATAATAAATACGTACAATAAAAATATATTAACTCGATCCAAACCCGATAAATTCTATTTAACTCTACTATTTTCTAAAAGAACGATATTTTTTTTCAAACTACTAAAGATTATTAATCTGCTTCAAAATGAATTTTAAACTCTTTTTAACATTAGTCGCAGTCATAACAATTATCTTCTCAACCGTTGAAAGCGCAAGTATGATTAAATTGAAATTAGTAATCTATTATTAAATAAAATTTCACTAACAATTATGAAATAAATTTTTAGCTTGTGAGTACAATATTATTTCTAAATGAAATTTCTATAATCTTTGTATATAGTAATTAATAAATTACACCTACTACATTGAATTGGTAAAATTATTAGTGATGTGAGTAAAAGTTAATCTGAAAATAAAGTTTTTAATCAATTCAAATTTTGAAAATTTAAATTTATAATAAGATAAAATAATTATTATGTATATTTATTGATATTAGAAGGTATATACGTAAATTTGTGTAACATCACGTACATCAATTTTATTTGATTTTACTGGTCAAAAAAATTTTGATGTATGTGATCGAAACTGATGTACGCAAAGAAATTTTATTAAAATTTATAATAAAATAATCTTTTATCATTAGGTGAGTAAGGATTGATTTATTAAATCGAAATTTTATAACCTATAATTAAATAAAACTTTTAAATTAAATTAGACGGTGAGTACAGAATTATTTTCTAAATTGAAATTTTATTAAGATTTCTCTAATCAACCACTTGAATTAAACTACTAGTCAGAGTCAGTAAGTACGGAACTATTTTGTAAATTGAAATTTTGTCTTGCATTTAAATAAAATCTCTTTAATCAATCACATAATTAGGTGGTAAGTACAAAGATATTTTTGTAGATTGAAAATTTATAAACTATGATTAAACTATTAATTATGAATCTAATCATTAGCCCGTGAGTATAGAATTATTCTCTAAATTGAAAATTTATAACCTAATAATTAAAATAAAAATTTTCTGACCGATCACGCAAATTAGGTGGTAAGTACAAATTATTTCCAAATTGAAATTTATAACCTACATTTAATAAGAATTCTCCAATTGATTATATTAACTAAATTATTAGTCCGTGAGTACAAAATTATTTGGTAAATTTAAAATAATTATTAAATAAAATTTCTAATGGATATATATGAATTAAACCATTAGCTTGTGAGTACTAATTTATTTTGTAAATTAAAATGTTATAACTAAATAAAACTCTAATCAATATATAAATAAATCATTAGTTGGTGAGTACAGAATTATTTGATAAAATCGAAATTTTATGAACTATAATTTATAAAACACTTCTTATTAAATAGCAAGTAAGTACGGAATTATTTTGTAAATTGAATTTTATATGATCTACAAATAAACTTTATTAAATTATTAGATGGTGAGTATATAAAATTATTTTGTAAATTGATAACTATGTAATTTAACAAAAATTTCTCTAATCGACTAAATACATAAATTAAATCATTAGCAAGTAAGTACAAATTATTTTACGAATTGAAATTTTATTATTATAATTAGACAAAAAACTCTAATCGATTACATGAATTAAATAGTTGGTAAGTATGGAGTTATTTCCTAAATTGAAATTTAATAACCTACAATTAAATAAAACTCTAATCGAAATTTAATCATTAGCAAGTAAGTAAAAAATTTATTTTACAAATTGAAATTTATAACATACGATAAAACTTTTTTAATGAACATATATAAATAAATCATTAGTCCGTAAGTACAGAATTATCATAAATTTAAAATTTTATAATCTATAATTAAACAAACTTCTCTATTGAATATTTAGTTGGTGAGTACAAAATTATTTGTAATTGAATTTTAATGATCTATTCTCTAATCAATTGTATCATTAGCTCGTAAGTACCGAATTATTTTGCAAATTGAAATTTTTACAATTAAATAAAACTTCTCTAATCAATTAAATCATTAGCTCGTAAGTACGAAATTATTTTGTAATTGAACACTTAATATAACCAATAAGTAATTTAAATAAAACTTCTATTAAATCATTAGCACGTGAGTACAAAATTATTTTATAAATTGAAATTTTATACCTAATTAAATAAAACTTTTCCATTAATCAATATATAGTTGGTGAGTATAGAATTAATTTATAAATTGAAAATTTCATAACTTTCTCTAACCATATAAATTAATCATTAGTTGGTGAGTCAAGAAATATTTCGTAAATTAAAATGTCAACTATAATTTAATAAAATTCTCTAATCAAATGAATTAAATTATTAGCAAGTGAGTAAATAATTATTTTGTAAATTGAAATTTTATTAATAAACTAATATTTTAATAAAATACTTTAGATAATTTTCATTAAGATGATATAGACTCTTATTTTTTTAAAAAAATAAATTATTAGAGTAAGTATAAATTATATTATTTTAATATGAATCGTAGTAATAGTTTATTGTTGTTTACTATAGTAATAATTTTAATTGTATAGAGTGTTAAGAAGAATTTATAGAATGGATTAAATTGGTTATCTATATTTAATCAATTAGCGCAATTATTTTTATATAATTATAGCTTTATCAAGAAAATTCTCAAATACTATTTAAATTTTTTATTAATTTGAAGTTTATACCTATTTTTATTTTTTAAACTATTTCTAATATATTTATAATAATTATATATGTTACTTACATATGTTTCTAAAACAAATATTATTACAATTTTACCAATTTATTTTAAGCATCAATTTTTTCTAAACTTAGCATAAATGTTTTGTGGTTTTTTTATTTAGTTTCATATTTGTAAATTTTCTTTTTCACGATTATTATAAATATCGATCTTTTCATAAATTAAACAGTATTTCTTAATATATAAAACATTTGTAATTTTTATTAAAGAACTGTTAATACCATTTCTATATAACCCCAACTGGCTCATTCTACAGACAGTACTTAGAAATAGTACCAATTCATATGATTGACTAGTTATATAACAGTTAGAGTAGTTACTGTCGCACTATTTATACCGGGTGTTTGATAAATCCCTGGACAGGACCTTTTTTATATCTCCGCTAGTAATAGTTTTTATTATATAACGATTACTAATCATTGCGTTTTTTTTTATATAGTATAATAATTTATTTAGTGATTTAAAAAAAAGGTCCTGTCCAGGGACTTATCAAACACCCGGTAGAATTTACGGAAGGGTTAAAGCCAGTTAGAGTTATATAGGGTAGCGTTAACAAAATGGGGTGGCATTAACAGGTCCCTTTTTATTATTATTTAAAATAAAATTTCTCTTGATTTAGAATTTTTTTAATTATTATAAATATTCATAATTTTTAAATTTTTAATAATTCTAAATTTGAAACTGCCACCTTTGTAATATTCTAATATGGGTGTTATCTATAAAACAGCCTTTTTTGCATATAATTTATTTTTAGTAAATCATATTTAAATAATCTAGAGGTTGAAACCAGTTTTAATAATTCGAGTTTATCATATGAATTTTGTGATATTTTAATTTTTTCATCCTGAAACTTAGGAAAAAAGTCTTTACAAATGAAGATTAGAATAGTGCATAACTAATTCTTGATTTTTCGAATTTTATCAATAATAAAATTTTTAAATTTACAATTACTTATAATAAAGGAAAAATAAAGTTTGACAAAGAATCCTTGGTTTTTTTGTATCGATTTTTCATCAGTTGTTTAGCAAATTTATTTAGTGCTAATTTAGCATTTTCATCAGTATTTATTTTTTGTTTATTAGTTTAGCAAATATTGGTGGTTTGATATCACTTAATATTGGTTTGAAATCCACTTCAGGAAATTATCATTTCTAATAGAAGAAATTGTTTCTGTGAAATCAGTACAAACTTGAATTGGATGATAGCGTATGATTACTGGTCCTTGAAGTATAACAGTATTAGATTTATCAAAATATTAAGAATATTTGAATGTGTCTCAGAATTCTAAAATAAATTATTATAAATTTATAATGAACTCTTAGAATTCCGAGTTTTAGCCTGTCGATACACATTTCTTACAACTACCGAAGTGACAACAAAATTCTTTGCACGTGATGACTGACTAACTTATCTATGCAGGTAGCAGTATATCCACGTGTTGAATGGAATATATAAAGGCTGCAATTACAATGAGAAACTTTATCATTTTCATATACAACATACACATGGTTATTTTGAAAACAATAAGTTTCATTTTCTAAAATTATATTTCTTGCAAATAACTATCTTTTTTAAAGAAATCTTTTATTGTTTCTAATGGCATAATCTTTCAAATCAAGATTTGTAAAAGTAGAAATGTGAACTATAACTATTTTATATACATTCTATAGTTATAGTTCGCATCTCTATGTAAAATTAGCTCTTTATATTGTACACATTATATATAATACCTACTTTTTAAATTAAAATATTTGTATTGAATTCAATGTAGATTGGTATGAAATTCAATTTTTTTCTCGATTCATGTTTTTAAAATTTGTTTTATTTTCGTATTATTTTATAAACTGAAATTGAAATTTACAATAATAATGCACTTTTTATACATTTAAAGTTAGATATAAATAAACAATAATACATTAATATCTTGACAAAATATAATTTAAACCTGATATCCAAAAAAATCTTATTTAATCTTATTTAATTAAGCATTCGAGATTGAATTCATTACCATAACGAGAGGTCGTCTAAAGCGGAGATCATGTGTCTATCAGCCAATCAAATCATAGAATTTTGGTGATCACCGGCAATACAAGAAAGAAAAACAAAAAACCTAAAAAATACAAAAAACGGCAGTCAAAACCTGCCTTGGATAGGTTAAGCAAAAATGTCGGGAAGGCGATTTTACCTACCTAAAACCTAACCTTACCCCTAGCCTAAGATGACCCTAACCCTAAAGTTAATTCAAAAATATTAATTATATAATTTATCTCTGCTTTAGACGTCCTCCATAACGAGAAACAACTTACAATTATGGATAAGACATATTTAATTTAATAAATTGAAAGTAATGTATAAGGATAAATGCTACCTAAAGAAATCATTAACAATGATTACTTATTAAAATTAAACTGTTAGTAAATCGTATTGTCGGTAAAATAAACTTGTGGTGAATCGTACTGTCGGTGAAATCAACTTGAAATAAACTTTTAGTGAAGCGTGCTGTCGGTAAATCGTACCGTCAGTGAAATAAACTTGTCGATGAATCGTACTTTAGTGAATTGATTGTCAGTGAAGTTAACGTCTTGCATTTATCGTGCTTTTCAAATTACTATGACCGGGAATCAGGAATCGAAAAAATGCCAGTATATGATTGGTTAAAAATTATTTGATTATTTTTTATCCAATCACATACTGGCATTTTTTCTAGATTTCTGATTCCCGGTTGATACATGAAATTTACTGATCACAGTAATTTGAAAAGCATGATAAACATTATAACTACTTTTGCCAATTTTTGAAAGTAATTTAACTTTATGAATTTAAAATGAGTTTTTGTGGTTCTAAATATCTTCGATTAACGCATATTATCTTTTCACAAATTATAGTTTACTAGGTTTGGTATAGGATAGACATATTAAATCAGAACAGAATAAGCATTAGAACATTTGATAAATATCATGCTTAACAATCGAACTGTATCTTAGTTAAAAGAAAGTTTCGTAAAACGAACAGATACAATATAAAATATATAAAGTAATATATATATATATATGGGCTAGATGCTGCAAAAAGGGGAAAATTGACAAATTTTTTAAAATTAATTTTTTTGCATAAATTAATTTAAAATAAGATCAGAATTATTTTTTACTTAAGAGACAAAAGTGGTTGTATTAATAAAATTTTGCAGTATAGCTCTTTAAAATTTGCAATTTCATATGATTTATTATCAAATTTATAACATAAAATTTGATTTTCTGAAGATCTTTTTTTTTTGTTGATTTTCCCCTTTTTTTGCAGCACTCAGCCCATATGCATAGTGATAATATTCAAAGAACTACTATCATAATGAAAAGTTATTTTGGCCCTTAATTGTAAAATTTAGGCCCTTATAATTATTTTCATTTTCAGACCCTTATACGTAAACTCCCTTAAAAATTATACTCTACAAAAACCACAATTTACAACTCCATATTCAACACTATCAGAAGGGATAGACCAACCTAGACTGCAATTGCTTTCCTTATAGAAATTACAAACTGCATTAGCAACTTTACCATAATAATCAACAGAATTGATGAATTCATATCTATCACACATAGAATCTTTATAACATGCTCTACCAGAACCACAACATATGTCTTCAGGGCTAGGAGTGGGAGTAGATATTACAGTATTAGTGGTATTAGTACATATTTTGGCAGGTTTGTTATAATGTCTATGCTTGGCATTGATAGTTCTAAAAAAAAGAACGACAAGAACCAGGAAAATATTAAATGAATGTCTATTTATGGTTAGAAGATTTACGAAAATTGTGAACCATTTTTCATTTGTAGAAAACATATTTCATTTTATACTTAACATTCTATATACAATAAAATGCAATAAATGAATAAACCAATGCACAAAAAGTAAAGCTTTATCAATAATCAATAGCAAAATTTGACTCGTTATGTCTATATATATAATTATCCTCATTAGGAAGAGAAATTTACACAACTTAAATTAAGTATATTAGACAACTAATCAAATTATGTACAGAAAGAATTAATATTTTTTAGATAATTATTTACTAAATCTTTTATGTTTATTAAAGACAGAATTGGTATAAACTTAATAATTTTTATCAAATAAATAATAAAATATTTACCAATTTAATCCAATTAAGAATTAATTAACCAGGATTAAGCATCACAACTTTTACCAGAATAATAAGCCTTTTGTTTTAACTCAGTATTAATGCAAATATTTATGGGACCACCAACTTGTTACATAGTTCATGATATACAAAGCCCAGATCAGTGTGTAATACTGTAAATAGTTTGTATCGGAAACGGAGTGATATGTGAATATCACCAAGTGTATGGTTATACGTATAATGCGGGGTATTACAGAAATATGTATTGCATAAAGTTATATGTAAGTAATATATACAGCGGTTTGTATAGATGTAAGCTAAAAAAATTTACAAAAGTATATATGATTAGCAAAATTTCTAAATTTATTCTTTGTAAGTGATCTCTTTTTAATAATTAGGGTTCTAATATTACCCTTGTTTCATGTTAAGGTTAGTATAACTTATAGATAAAATTTTTTTAAGAATTTCTTCTAAAAATTAGAATATATAGCAAATATGTAATAAAGTATGTATGTATAGTTCGTAAAAGCAATTTCTATTATAAACTATACTAAACCTAACATGAAAAAAGGACAATATTAGCACTCACCCAAACCTAACTATTAAAAAGGGTTAATTTATCAAAGATAAATTTTATAAGTTTTGCTAATCATACATACTTTTGTAAATTTTCTTAGCTTACATCTATACAAACAATGGTATACTTTACTTACATGCTAGCTTATACAATACATATTTCTGTAATACCCTAAAAATTATGCATACTATCTTAATTTCCACTACCGTAAATTCTCGAAATAACGGGCATCTTGAATACGTGCGCGTTATTTTGAGTACGTGCATGGGCGTTATTTTGAAACAAATATAAAATTATATATATTTTTTATATAAAAAGTGAATAAACAAGAATGCTCTGAAACTAGGTTCGGTGCTAAGTAAATCTATTTTCAGGCTTTAATTAAAGTTCATTAAAAACGGCCCAGTATATCGTCCGCAATGGCTCTTCGAAGTTTTGCAACGTTTGTCTATCTTTGTTTACATAAGTTGCAAAACTTTGGGGAGCCATTGTGGATGATATACTGAGTCGTTCTTGATAAACTTAACACTATTAGAACCGTCTCGATCTGAAGAACAACTTTTGTTAAAGCTCAAAAGTAGATTTACATAGTACCAAACCTAGTTCCGGAGCATTTTTTAAATTTTACTACCCTTTACTATTAGATGCGCGTTATTTCGGGACGCGCATGGGCGTTATTTCGAAACCACCTATGCTATTTTTAGGGGGCGCGATTTTCGAATTAACGCCCCTGCCCGTTATTTCGAGAATTTACGGTGTACATACTTTATTAATTATACATTACATATTTTCTATATACTCTACTGTATGATGCAGGGGAATTAATTCTACATACGTACGTATTACGTATGTAGAACTAATTCTACAATCTCTATAACAGATAATTGTAGAATTGATGATCGTTATTGCGCTTTGCAAAAAGATTTACCCGCAGGATTTTTGTGATGATGATTTCTAAAATTATACCTGTAGATTGTCAACTAGATAGCTGCGCGACGTCATCGCGCAAAACCAGGAACGGAAATCTAAAAAAGAAAACAGCTGATTATCAACTTAACCGTAGATAAAATGAAGAATTGGCGTCTAACAGATTACTTTACCCTTCAACTGATTACTTTTTCATCAATCAATGTAACATTTATTTATGCTACGATATGTCAAGTAGGTAGTTATCTAAGTGTAAACGATGAAATATAACGATTTCGGGGGTTTATCGAAATTAATGCCACACCCGTGTACAGTTATGAGTGACATTAACTCTGATAAAAGAAATTTTCTGTCGTATAAGGTCACACCAAGTTAATTTTTGGTTTACCATTATCCGCCGACCCAAATTTCTTAAAAATTCAAAAAAAAAAAATTTTTTCCAATAACTTTTCAAAAAAAAAAAAAAAAAGAAGTCAATACTTATTTAATCAAAAAATAGCGGCATACAAAAATTACTCGAGTCTAATTCAGAACATTTCGGGGCGGTTCCCTTTAAGAAACTACATCATAGTTAAATAAGCTTTCATATTGTTAACCGTTTTAAACAAAAAAAATTCTAATTTTTCATGACATTTCACTAAAACCACAACGTTCATATTAAAAATCTGTCGACGCAAATTTGGTATAGTCGCGATTACGTGATGATTCACTAGGCCATCAATAATACATAAATGCCTAATGCTATGGTGGTCGAAAATTTTTTCTGTATTTAATTTACGAATGCTATAAATAGCAAGATTATCACACAGTGGACGATCATTCGCAGAGTAAAAAATATTTCCGGATCTTTTTTTTGAACGTGATTACACCGCACTAACAAATTGAGGATACTTCTAATTAGACAATTTAGTGTTAGCATTAGACTTGAAGTTTACGAATTTAGCGTGGACTCTATGTATAAATAAATTTTTTAAAATTATATACAATTAGGTCTACGATAAATATTGTTACGGGGTGATTCGTACGTTTAATTAGTTTATACCTGATACACGAAAATATAGTATAAGGCATTCGCCAGAGGCGTGACGATGATGATTTGACAATAATTTAATTTATTAAATGAGTTTGACAAGGTGATTTATTAGATATATTAGGATAAAGTTATTAGAATCCCGTAAGATGTCTTTTGAGAAGGGCGAAATGCTAGAGTTTTTATAGCTTTAGCGAATGTAAAGGATTCAAGGGCTTAGGGGTGATTCACATTTTACATCGTTAACGAATTTAAGAAAACTAGTTCTAAGGTAAGGGGCTTACAATAATAATTTGTAACATTATTATAATAAAAGAAAGGCTTTGCTTCGCTCAATATAATTATTCACTTTTACAGCCACTTCTACTATATCGAAATCTTGATACTCGGTCTTTTTTTTTTTATTTCTTCTTACGTGTTTCTTGTTCTTCGGATTTCGCGTTGGTTATTGTTTTGTCTTTATTCGGCCGATAAGCTTCAACCGATAAACCAGTATTTCTTGAATTTATTATTTCAATCACGAGTTTGCTGTGCTTAATTTTGTAGATCCTTCATTTTAGCCTGTGACAATATGTAAACCCGGGTCTATCTAGAGATGTCTTTACTAGTTTCATTCTGATAATCATCTCTAACATAAAGATAAAACATTCTATTTGTATTCCCATTTTGATAAATTAAAGTTATTATTTCGGGAAACAATACAGATTTTATAAGTCTATCACTAAGATTCACTAATTTTTAGAATTTAAAATAGATAACAGATTATACAAGTCACTCTTGTACTCAGTAAGTTACCGATAGGCTTAAACTCAATATAGTTTTATAATGCTTTATGATTTAACTGATTCAAAAATTAATTATCGCGGTTACTGTTCCTGATGGGTTGTCAGTACTGTTTCTGGTAGGGTGAGGAAAAAATCGATTTACATGCTATTCCTAATAGGTTTCTAAAAAAGGGTCTCCAAATACTATACTACTACAATGAAAAAAAGTTGGGATTAGAGTTCGTTTTTAGAACCATATCAGGAACAGTACTCAAATATATTTTAACTCCATCACGATCATTTTAGGTAGCGTTTCCACAAAAAATTGTTTATCTCCAGTAATTTTGACCAATCAAAATTTAAGATCAGGTGTCAAAACAAACATGTTTTATTTTCTAAGTAAAAAAGTTATGTGTAAAATAAAAACCAAGAAAACCGTGTTATAATTAGGGTTAGGATTAGAACAATACAATGCCTATGAGTAAAACATCATGAGGAACATTTTTTCATTAGGCTGCAAAAGGTGGTTTTCTAATTAAAATTTAGAGTTATTTTTGTTTTTTGTAAAAAAGTAGTTTCGTTTCAATTTTTACATTACACCTGATCCTGAAATTCGATTGGTCAAAATTACAGGGGTGAACAATTTTTTGTGGGAGTTGCTGATCTATCAGAAATTGTCCAATTGCAATCGATGTACAATTTTTCAGCAACTATCTGATCAAATTTGATGAATTTTTTTTATTTGAATTTAATAAATCTATAGAATTCAAACAAAAAAATTCACCGAATTTGATCAGGTGGTTGCTGAGATATTATTGCTTAAAATTTTTTTAAAAAAGATCTGTTTATCAAAAAAATAGAAGCTGTGTCAAATTTTTTCTATTGCTAAAATCTCTTTGCTCAAAGTTTTTTAAAAATATCAAAATATCAATTAAAAATAGAAGCTGCGCTAAATTTTTTCTAAAAATTTGAGTGAAGATACTTTAGCAACTATTTGATCAAATTCGATAAAAATTTTTTTATTTGAATTCTATTAATCTATTGAATTCAAATAAAAAAAAAATCTATTGAATTTGATCAGGTGGTTGTTGAGATATTCTTGCTTAAAGTTTTTTTTAAAAAAATAAACAAAAAAATTCGCCTATAATACAAAAGTAAAAAAATATAGCAATTCATGAGTTCTCGTTTATTTGAACTTAAAGTTTAATGAGCAAAACTTTAATATATTTTCTAAAAGTCTTGTTATTGCGCAATAATCATTTTAGACTGATCTTTTCAAAATCAAGGTGAGCACTATGAATTTTCATCATAAATCTATGCCAAATTTTTTCATAAAACTTTAAGATATCTTAAAACTATCTGATTAAATTTAATGAAATTTTTTTGATTTGAATTCTATAGATCTAT